GCTAACACTGACCTTTAGGTTGCTAAAGCAAATCTACAGTTTTTAGTCTTACTTTACTAGACATATAACAGCACTAACACTAACAGATAATCCTTCACTCTTGAAATATTCTATTTTAATTAACTACTCCTAGCATAATAATAACAACCAGTACTCTTAACTCTGACTTTGCTAGGGTCTCAATCACTACATATGCTCAATCACTGCATATGCTGCATGTTCAACTGTATTAACTCTGTTTTTTTCACAGTGCTGGCTATTGGTTAGTACCCAATATTCAGTATCTGAGTCAAAGCAGCTTTGTAAATAAATTAGAATGGAAAATATTTAAACATATCATGAGCAGTAAGACTATTATTCTTAGAAATATACATTCACACAATATATATCTTTGGATTATGTCTGAAAACATTATAAAGAAACCAAAGAAATGGTTTCTTATTTAATTCGCATGGTGCTACCTATGAAATTCATATATTAATTAACACATTTAACTCCCTTCCCATCACCTGAGCTTCAAGGAAGCACTCTCCAATTTATACCTGAACTTATTATTTCTTATTCTCCATATTCTTACTACAGAATACTACCTACCCGCATGGTTTAAACATTTTTCATGCACTGATAGTTCCTAAGATTTATTTCCTAAGCTCCAGATTTATTTCCTGAGCTCCAAAATACCCATTGATTGATAGCCATATTTCTCTATTTGAATGCCCTGAAAGCTTGTCCACCTCACTATGCAAATGTACTCAATTTCTACACATTTTTCTCTCTTTCTTTATTGCTCACCTGCTAACAGTTTTCCCTCTGCATTCATGTAGAGATCTCCATATCTTAGATAAATCCGCATTATCACCAACATAATTTTCAGTCAGGTTACTATGGTTTGGATGTGATCTGTCCCCCAGGGGTTCATATGTTAGAAGCTTGTTCCCAGTGTATCCAGATGAAACACAGTAGAATCTAAATGTAATTTTTATGAGATCCTGGTAGTATTCATGAGAAAGTTATTATAGAAGAGCAAGATTATTATTGCTTCTTGGCCTTTAGGCTAGGAAAATACGTAGAAGGACAAGACGGGCCCCCTCTTGCTCTGTAGCTTCCTGTTTGGCCTGTTTGGCCACGTGATCGCTCCAGTTGCTTATGGCCCCACATGATACCAGTTGCTAAGTGGTGATCTAGCCAAAAGGGGCCTTAACAGCAGCCAAATTGATGGGACTGCTCAATCTTGGACTTTCAGACTCCAAAACTGTGTGCTAAATAAGTCTTTTTTGTGTAGAAATTACCCAGCTTCATGTATTTTGTCATTGTTGGTGAAAACTGACTGATTAATACACAAGCTCTCACTCTTTCTCTCCTGGGTAGTAGCAACATGACTGTCCCATTACGTGACACATGCCTGCTTCATCCTCTCACTAAAATCTAATTCTTTAGAGAGGACTTTCTAAACCAGAGATAAAACTTTTAACCTCCAAATGTCACGTATACTCAAGGTATTTTAGAGAGAGATTTGGTATATTTTTAAGCAATACTTTAAAAAATAAAACCAAATTAATATTTAAATGACATTCACATAAATTTAGTACATAGGTGAAAGGTCAAGATAAAAAAATTCTTTACTTGTTATTATTTCAAACATACTAAGGTAAGCTTAGGAAAGACACTCAACAATCACAAATGTCTTTCATTCAACAATAAGCAATATAACAATCATTGTTGAATTCTTACCATCTTGTTTAGTGAAGCTCTGTATCATTTCTAATTTTTCATTACTTTTTATTCTCTTTAATTGTTTGATCAGTCTTGCACTCTTACATCTGGTAATCTGAGCAACTTTGTTGAAGATAACAATATGTAACATAACAACCACTGTTATTCCTATCATCTTGCTTTGAAATCCTGTATTAATTTTACTGTTTTTGCGTTTTTGTCTTTCTTTTTGTCTTTGTTGTTTGATGACATGGTGTCAGGGCAGCAGGTCTAAAAAGTAGAACAAAGCTAGAGCTCTCTTTACACACGTTAACTTTCCCTACCCAAACTTCTGAAGTATCCAAAAAATTCCATTTGAATGATTTTGTTTTGTTTTTGTGTTGTATGGCTTGATAATCAGTCAACATGTATGAGATAATATATGTGAACAAACTATATAAAACTATTAAGAGCTATGCAAAAGTAAAACATTTCATTACACATTTTGTTAAACATAGTTTTCAATATCAAAAATGTTGTGTTGCTGTTTAAATAATCTCACACTATAACCATCACAGCCAGTAACTCTTAGAAAATACTTATGGAACTTCTTCCTCAAGTTCATTAAAGCAAAACAAGAAGGGGGCTGGGGATTTAGCTCAGCGGCACAGCACCTGCCTGGCAAGCACGAGGTCATGAGTTCGATTCCTGGTACCAGAAAAAAAAAAAAAAAAAAGAAAACAAACAAAAAAAAATTTGGTATATTTTCTTTCTATAAAATAGGGTCTTATTTCCCTTTTCACCATTTACAGGTTAGAAGAACACAAGTCGACTCATTTGAAGATACTGTTTTTCACTTAGCCTCTTGCCAAAAGAGACCAACATAAAAGAAGCTCTGAGCACATTTGGTATTTATCAAATTTTATGCAATTAAGTTTAAAATAATTAACAAAATGAATAAATATGTCCATAAATATGTGTATCTATATGTCTCATAAAATTTAATTTCAAAAATAAAAATATTCTAATGCAATGGACTTTTACCAAATTCTATGTACAACATTGCTTGCTTATTCTAAATATAAACTAGGGCTCAGAAAAACATAGCATTGTTCTGTTTGGTTGTAGTACTTCATAATAGTTTTATTTTACCATTCACCAAATCTCTTTTGAGACCTCTGCTTCTTATTCAAACTAACTTCTGCCAAGAACACTAAGAATTTGGTGATAGTGGTTTTTGTGTGTGTGTGAGAAAAACAACCCCTTTTCCTCAGAAAATTGAAAGTGTTTATCTTGGCACTTAAACCTTGTATTGAGCCTTCTGGAAAGTATTTTAAACTGTTGTTTTGAGCCCAGACTTTGTGACTGAAACAGGAAAAGCTTCCACAGCTCTGTACTGAAACACATATTTATGGCTGATTTTCTTTCTAAATCAAAAATACTAGGTTGATGGCAGCAGTTTTCAAAATATAACCTCCTAGAACCATTCTAGAAATTGGGCACTTATTAGTGTATTCAATGCAAAATTTGTTTATAAACCTCAAAAACTTCTTATGACTAAGAAATGCTAAACCTTAAGCATATATTTATTGTTTTTAAGTGACACATCAGGAAGGATTATTTCGTATAGTTACCTGTTCTGTCAGAAATTTTCAAAGAAAATTTACCTGTTATACCTTCCTCTTATGCATGTCAACAAACATGTGCTTCCAATTTTGTAACTTTTATGATTGTATTTCTCCCAATGGGAAGGTTACACCTTCAGCATAAACAGTACATAAAAATAAGCCGTGTGAACTTTTTGCAATACTGTCCTAATGATATGTATGAATATAAAGTTTTTGGATGAAATGATGAAATGAAACCTACTCCTAAAGTATTAAAAATAGAAAAGAATTTAGTGCGTGGTATAAAGTATTACTCCTAAAAATGCACTAAATATCTGTTTTTAATACTAAAGTATTAAAAATAGTTTTTTTAGGAGTAAATAAACTATTCACTCCTAAAGTATTAAAAATAGAAAAGATATTTAGTGCATGGTATACTAGTTGGGTGCACAGCATACCACTAGAGTGTGCATGAAGATATAGTAAAAATAACATATCATAAAATTTGGGGCCGGGGCTGGGAATCAGTAGGAGAGTAGTTGCTTTGCTTCCGTTCATGAGGCCCTAGAGTTGATCCTGAGAAATCCAAGAAAAAAATTCACAAAGACTACTAGGCAGCTCCAATAATGTTTTAGTCACTAATGACTAACATAAAATTTGTACAGCCTACTACCAATGCTTGATAGATCAAGTTCTATCTACCTTAAATCCTTATATATTTTTCCATAACTTCCTAGCAGTCTCTTTACAAGAATAACAGCTTTTCAGCACTTTGTATTTGAATATAACATTTTTTTAAAAAGTCAAAATAATTTTAAATCATATTGTGCTTTATCAAATATTTACTAGGATATTCAGGTTTGGAAGCAGTGGTTTTAAACTATAGCTATGATTAAACTGTCTTATTTTCAAAAAACCATAAATCTACTTTATTAAAAATCCATAATTACATTTACAAATTAGGTATAAAGTTTAAAAATCTGACCATTTTTGATGTGACTGATTCTGCCTAGATCCAGAAAAATCAAGAAATACTTTTTTCAATGAGGGTAATACAAGGATATAAATGAGAATTAATTGATAGCACCATGCACCAAAAATGAAAATTATGGAGTGGGAGACTCTTCCTGATCAAAAATCATACTCCCGTACTGCTATGATTATACAAAGATGACATACATAGTCTTATTGGCATTCAAATCATGAGACAGCCGAACACTCTTCCTAGGTTCCTCAGAAAGGAATCACATCAAGGAAAGGTACAACTCTGACATTACAGATAAACTTAACATTTGCAAAGTATGACTGCTACACCAGGTCAACATCACAGAAGGCTGAGATAGAACCCTACGGGCATTATTTTCTTATTTAAATTTAAAATGCTGATTATTTCATAAGCAAAGAATAAGTAGAAGTAAGTACATAAAAAACCAAAAAAACTCATTTAGTAGGATTTAAGTACTATTAATTGACTATTAATAAGGAGAACATGAGGAAGAAAAGTAAACCCTCCCTCCATCTCTATCTTTCCCCTATTCACAAAGGAGTAGAGATTCTTTAACCACTGTTGGGGGAAGTGAAAAGAAAAACATGCCACTTGTGGAGCACAATTATTTGGGGAATACTTTAGTTTCATGGTTGAAAACAAATCACAAAAGATCCATTTTGGGTATTAAAATAAGTAAGGGTAGCAAAACATACCTGAAAAAGAACATATACATAGCCGCTGTGATGCAGAACAAAAGGACCTGTAACAAGGAGAAAATGCATTACTTGCAAAAGAAAATGACATCACTCATTGTGTGACTTACACAGAAGCAAAATATCCTTATTAAACCTTGTGCTGGAAATAATAAGAGGACATTTAAAACCAGTCATATATGTATAATATTTTCACTTTTCAAATAAACTATATAATGCTATAATAAACTATAATAATTATATGGAAAGAACTGTATGTATAATTGTCTTTCAGTATCTATGAAGAATTGGTTTCAAGGACAACACATCCTAACCCACAGACACTCAATCCCATGGATGCTCAAGTCCCTTATACAAAATGGTATTGCACATAACCAAACGCATCCTCCTGCATACTTCAAATCATCTCTACACTACCTACACTACCTAATACAATGTAAATACCACGTAAACAGTTGTTACACTGTGTTATTTAGGGAATAATAAGAAAAAAGTCTATACAGGTTCTATACAGTGCCATTTTTCTTCTGAGTATTTTCCATCAATAGTATGTTGAGTCCATGAATATGGAACCCATATATGTATGTGTATATAACATATACACACATTATGTAGATTGAATGGAACGGTAAAACGGTTCAAAAATGGCAACAGGTGAGTTTTCAGCTTGTCTATCAGAATACCCAAAAAGACAAGCAACTTCACATCAAGGACTACTTGTCTTATACATTTAAATCAGTGGATTAATCTGAAAATCTATTAATCATCATATCAAGACAAGCAAGATTTGTAACTTGTAAAATACAGTTTAATTGACAGCCAATTATAATTAATAAGAAAAGGTCATCCTGTAAACATAGTAATACTTTCTGGAATATAGACCAGCTATTTTAAAATCCACTAAAAGCAGGCACAAGAACACACACTCGGTCTGAATTCTTCTTAAGAAGGTTCACTCAAAAATATAATAAACATATTAGGATGGTACATGGAAGGAATCCAGAACAAGAGACGTACAAAGGCTTAGTTATGCCATTGTGTTTTTACATACTAAAAGGAAGTTGTCAAATGAATTCTTATATTCACAGGTATAAACTAAGCAGGAAGATTATCAATGGCTTCACAGCTCAGACAAGTAAGAATTAAACTTTCAGCTACAAAAGACTAACCACGGGGCTGGGGATTTAGCTCAGCGGCAAAGCGCCTGCCTGGCAAGCGCAAGGTCGTGAGTTCGGTTCCTGGTACCGGAGAAAAACAAAAAAAAAAACAAAAAACAACAACCAAAAAAAAGACTAACCACAAGAAAAACGAAAACAGCAAAAAACAGTATTTTGCTATTTCCAACACAAATCGAGTCAACTTGAGGAAAGTATAAGTTTAGCTATTACAAATTAATCTTGAGAAGTAAGCAATCTTAGCCTAAGTACTATAAATATAGCCTGAATAGCTTAGAAACATATACATGCACCAGCCCTCCAAAAATGGTATCAGTTACTACTAAACAAACATGTTTATGTAACAATAATTTTTACAATGTATGTAAGTTCTTTCCCTTATCACCAAACACACTCTTTTCCCTTCCTTCTCCCCACCCTTCCTCTACCTCTCCTTTCTACTGCCTTTAAAAATACCACATTTATAATGCATAAAGTTTTATTAAATTGTTAGAAATATAAAGTACATGAAATAATTTTAAATTATGAATTAATTAAAAATTAAAGCCCCAATAAGTTTGTTTACTAGTTAGACTTTGCTGACCAAAACCCAGTTATGAAACTATTTCTCCATCATTCTATCCCCTTTGGGTTATGTCAGCCTTCCCAGATTTCCAATGCTTCATGTTTCCCTTGCAGTAGTCAATGCCCCCTGGAATTTTCCACAAGTGCCACAGAATTCTTTCCCACCTTCTCTATCTTCTTTAAAAAAATGCACAAAGTCTCTTTTCCTCAAATCATTGCTATGCTTTATCCTGATACATTAAACCTGTTTGCACTTCTATGAAACTGATGATAATCTTTATAAATAATACATGTGAAACAGGGAATAAAGCAATGTTTAATAATTGAAATTTAGGTGTAAGATGGAACTAGGCTTGAATCCTTGTTGGGTATGTCTTTGGATGCTTCTTATGATATCACAAAGGTTTAGATCCTTTATCTACAAGCTGAGAATAATTCCTTGCTTTGAACTAATGAGAAGAATCAATGAAATAATGCTTACAAAAGGGCTAGAAATTGTTTTTATTTTGTTACTAACAGGAGCAAACTAGTGATAAAACCCAGTCCAGAGATATAGTCTGGAAGGAAATTAATTTTAAACAGGTGCATTTCTTTAAAGTTCTCAAATCTTCAACAACTGAAACCTGATTTTTTAGAAAGCAGAGAATCAAGATGTGAAAATCTGTACAGAGTAATAAATCTAAGAGATCAGTTCACTCCACAAATAGTTATTGAATACCTACTAGGTGTCAGGTACTCAGGAGAACTTACAACAGTACACAGTATGAACAAATTCTCTACCCTCATAAGATGTATCTTCTAGTCACATGAAATAGGTAACAAAGTAAATTAGTATGTCAGGTAGTGGTATGTGATTTGGTAGTGGATAAGGAAGGATAAAAAAGAGAAATGCAGAAGAGTGGAAACGTTTATAAAGAGTAGTCACAGAAGCAGATTTGTTGGTAGGGACAATAAAATGAGTAATAAGCCAGGGAATCAAATCAATAGTTACAGCAAGGTCTCTAGATTACATCAAGAAAGATGGGAATTTAATGTCACTTCTCTTTTTTTTTGGAGACAGGTTTTCACCGTGTAGTTCACGTTGGCCTCAAACTTGTGGCAATCCTTCCACCTCAGCCTCCCAAGTGCTGGGATTAAAAGTGTGTGCCACCATGCCTGACTTGAAATATGCTTAAAATTATGTAAATTAATTAAACATGCTCAAGAAAAAATTTCATTTTTAACTATGTTTATCAAAACTTTCCATCACTGTGATTAAATAACAAACATTTTTTCCTCCCAACTATTTTCTTTTATTGAATTAACTACTTTTTTATGATTTCATTTTCTCTCCCTTATTGGCTTATTTTACTGTTTATAATATAAACTTCTAAATTGCTATAGTCTATACTCAAATATTATACCACTTACCATATAGTATGAGAGCCACATAAAAATGTATTTCGGACCAGGCGTGGTGGCGCACACCTGTAATTCCAGCACTCAGGAGGCTGAGGCAGGAAGATAGTTGCAAGTTCGAGGCCAGCCTGGGCTACAAAGTGAGCTCAAGGCCAGCCTGAACTGCACAGGGAGACCCTGTCTCAAAATGACAAAAAAATAAAAAATAAATAAATAAATATATATATATATATTACACACACACATATTTCCAGCTCTACCCTCCTGATCTTTCAACCATTGTGCGCACAAAATAAACTCACTGCTGCATTTATTCACATTCCCTTAAAAATGTGTAGCTGAAATTGTACTTCGTTTTGAGACATTCTGAGATTTTTGCTAGGTACAGGATTCTAGATTGTAATCACTGTGCACTGTAAATATGTACTAATAAAAATAAACAATGAAAAAATAAAGACTTCTAGGCTGATGGATTTTTTCAGTAGTGTACAGTTATCACCCTAATGTCTTTCACAATCTGATTACAATGTCCTTTGAAGTTGCCCTCATCCTGCTTCTTGTACAGGGTTTCATGAACTTTTTTTGCATCTGAGTTTACAGTTTCCATCAAATGTGAACATTCTGCAGCTGTTACTTCATCCAGTGTTTTTTCTTCCATCTTCCTTTCCTTTCCTCTACTTACATCACCTGAAATTGTCCCGCAACTGATTCTAAAAAAAGTTCTTTCTCTTTCATTTTGGATTGTTTTCTATGTTACATCTGCAAATTCACTAATATTTTCTTCTGCAAGTATAATCTACCATTGATGTTATCTAGTAAACTCTGCATGTCACATCTTATAGTTTTCATCTTCACAAGTTTGATTTGGGTTTTTATTTTATTTTTCATATCTGTACCTTCTTTAATCTATTGTATTTTTTTTGTTTTGTTTTGTTTTGGTTTTGGTTTTGGTTTTTCTCCGGTACCGGGAACTGAACTCACAACCTTGTGCTTGCCAGGCAGGCACTTTTGCCGCTGAGCTAAATCCCCAGCCCCTAATCTATTGTATTTATAATAATTGTCTTTAATGTCCTGCCTGCTAATTCTAACACCTTTGTCAGCTTGGCTTGGTGTTAACTGACTAACTTACCTCTTCATTATGACTCAAATTTTCCCGTTTCTTACTGCACAATGGTAATTTTCCACTTGATGTCAGGCATTTTGAATTTCACCTTGATGGACACTATAAATTTTGTATTTCCATTAAAATTTCTTAAGCTTTGTCCTGAGACACAGTGTAATCTTTTGAGGTCTTGCTTTTAACATACTTTAAGAGGTACTGCAGTAGTGCTCAATCTAGGGCTAGTTACTGCCCCTCACTGAGAGAACCTCACGTGTACTTTACCCAGTGCCACACGATTCGCGAGGTTTTCTAGTGTGCCTATTTAAGAGGCACATGCACTGTCTCCACTTGTGTCTGAGTATCAGTCACTCCATTCAGGACCTCTGATCCTTTAAGTTGCTCTTTCTTCGGTCTAGAGTAGTTTCCTGACATCATATCCTAACCTTTAAGGAGCTGAGTATTGTCTTCTCTCTACCTCTTTTCTGTGAATTGTGTCCAACACTGTCTGTCCAGACTTTCAGTTCTGTTTCCTTACCTAAGAAAGTCCTCTGGAGTTTTTCTGAGTGACTCCTCTTTGCCCCTTACCTGGAAATTCCTGTCCGCGTTGTTAGTAACAGGGCTCCTTTCACATGTCTCTCAAACCTCAGGGATACTTGTCCTTCAGTGTCTACTCTCTAGCTTCTTGAAAACGACTGCATTTTGTTCACTTTTTCAAATTGTCCAGTTGCCTCAACTGGGACAATAAATTTAATCACTGCTGATACATCTTGGACAAAAGTAGAATGGGGTTATTTAAATTTAAATTAAG